CACCATTGTTTTTTGTGGCTGAGTAGTGTTCTGTGATATACATGTACCACAATTTAGTAATCGACTCGTGTATTAATGGGAATTTGGGTTGTTTCTACATCTTTGCGATTATGAATTGTGCTACTATAAACATTTTAGTGCAGATATCGTTTTTATAGAATGTCTTTTTTTCCTTTGGGTAGATGCCCAGTAATGGGATTGCTGGATCAAATGGTAGTTCTACTTGTATCTCTTTGAGGTATCTCCATATTGCTTTCCACAGAGGTTGTACTAGTTTGCAGTCCCATCAGCAGTGTATAAGTGTTCCTATCTCTCCATATCCATACCAACATTTATTATTTGGGGACTTTTTGTTGAAAGCTATTCTCACTGGAGTTAAGTGATATCTCATTGTGGTTTTGATTTTCATTTCTCTGATGATTAGAGACGTTGAGCATTGTTTCATATGTTTGTTGGTCATTAGTCTGTCTTCTTTTGAAAAGTTTCTGTTCATGTCCTTTGCCCACTTTTTAATATGGTGGTTTGATTTTTTTCTTGGTGATTTTCATGAGTTCTATATAGATTCTAGTTATCAGCCCTTTATCGGATGTATAGCATGTGAATATTTTCTCCCGTTCTGTAGGTTGTCTGTTTGCTCTTGGATTTCTTATACATAGTATTAGGTCTGAGCGATTTAACTTTGATCTGATTCTTGCTTTTTATTAATGATATGCTCTTTCTTTCTAGAAGCTTTTCAAATTTTTGTTTTGTCTTTGATAATCTTATATGCTACCTCTAGACAGAGGTATCCTTTTCCTTATAGCTCCTGTTTGTCATTCTAGTAGCCTTTTTAATTTTCAGTTTTTAAAATATTTTGTTTTATTTTCAGGAAATGTATCTCCATTATTTCTTCAAATATTTTTCTCCTCTTTTTTAAAATTTTGTCTTTCTTTCTGGAAGTTCAATTATTCCTATATAGGAAGTTTTGCCACCTCCTCCATCTCTAAAATGTTCTTTTCTGTCTTCTATCTCTGTATTCTTTCCTCCTGCCTCCTGGGAGAGTTGCTCAATTTATAAGTTACAAATGTGTTCAGCAGTTGTAACTGTGAGCTCATATTTCTTTGAAGGCATGAGATACCCTATCTAATAATATGTCTCATAATGTGTGTTGGGAAAGAGTTTTAAGGCAAAGGAAGAGGCTGAATCCCAGGGCAGAGAGCCTGGGCACAGTAGAACCACTACTTAACACTCTGGTTTACTCTCCTCTTATCAGGTAATTCCTTGTGCCAAGGTTTCACTTTTAAACCTTTGGGGAGACACAGCTGTTAGAGGAAACAGCCTCTTTAAGTTGTAATTCATAGCCCTGGTTGGAAAGACTTTGTTTTTCTTTCCTCTTCTGGGTCACCATACTTCCCAAAGGGCATTCATTTAAAAATGCTTCAGTGAAAAACAAATAAATAACTATATCAAAATGAAACAGAAAACAAATTAAAAGGTACCACACCACTTTAATCCTTCAAAACAAAACAAAAATTTCAACACACACATACATACCCCTGGAGTTTTAAAACAGTTGGAACATGATAATTCTTTTACTGTAAACTGAATAAGTATAAGCTTGTGTCGGGTGCAGTAAGAAATCATTCAAGAACAGTAAGTCCTTTAGTATAAATTTTTCCAGCTGTGTTTCCAAGGGCTGTAGCAGAATAGTTTGCAGTACTGGGTATGCATTTAAGTTATTGGGGAATACTTGGCTTTGTCAAATGGGTGACTTTTGCTATTTAGGAGATTGTAGATAAATTGGAACCTGGTTAGTTCTAGTACTTCTTATTTCTGATTCTTACTTCCCCCATAACCCATGAAACAAAAACAAAACAAACCCTCCAAACCACTCAAACACACAAACACAGACACTTAGATACATACACACACGATCTCCAAACCCTAGGACTACTACATGCATAATAGGCATTTAGGACTTTTACAAAGTTAGTTTTTAATTCCAGTTGGCTTTTTCTATGTGTGAAGGTCACGCAGATAATAAATAAGCAGGCATTATCTTTCTATGAATGTAGGACTCAACTTTCTAAATAGGCTTAAAAGCCATAAAACCCAACCAAATAAAACCATAACAATAGTGGCAGCAATAGTAAAAACACAAAACACCAAACACTTAAAGTTCTAAGAATGGTATGTGTAATGGCTTGTCTGGGAACACCTGGAGAGATCTCTTCTTCAAGGGTTGGGCCACAAAGTTCCCTGAGGCCTGAGGCCCATGGTTATGGGTACCAATTTGAAGAATCTTAGGTGTGTATATCTTGCCTATTCATTGCAAGGAAGTGATCTGCAATCAAGTGGGGTAGACTTTCTCTCTTTATTGTCTACTCTGTCCTGTGCAGTCCTGGGTGCTTCTTCTGTGTAATGTTCTATAACTGTGGTTTGACCCGTCCTCCTCCTGGCCCAGCCAGGGAACCCTATGGGTTGACTGACCAGCACATGGGAGGTAGCATGGCAGAATGGGAAGAGTCATTTATTTGACCAGAGATATTATTTGACTTCCCCTAGGAAATTTATAAGGCTCATCACCTTCAGAAAAATTACCAAAGTGTGATTTTTGTGAAAGGCAAATAACCTCTTTGAGCAGGAGTTGGCAAACTTTCTCTGTAAAAGGCCGGATCATAAATATTTTTAGCTTTGTTGACTGCACAGTCCCTGTCACAAATACTCAAGTCTGGCATCACAGCAAACACGGCCATGGACAAAATGTAAGTGAACGGATGCAGCTGTGTTCCAGGAAACCTTTATTGACAAAGCAGGTGCTGCGGCCAAATTTGGCCACAGACCATATTTTGCCTTCTTGTTTCTTTTTTTTTTTTTTTTTTTTTTTGAGACAGAGTCTCGCTTTGCTGTCCAGGCTAGAGTGAGTGCCATGGCGTCAGCCTAGCTCACAGCAACCTCAAACTCCTGGGCTCGAGCGATCCTTCTGCCTCAGCCTCCCGAGTAGCTGGGACTACAGGCATGCGCCACCATGCCCAGCTAATTTTTTTATATATATATATATCAGTTGGCCAATTAATTTCTTTCTATTTATAGTAGAGACGAGGTCTCGCTCTTGCTCAGGCTGGTTTTGAACTCCTGACCTCGAGCAATCCGCCCCCCCTTGGCCTCCCAGAGAGCTAGGATTACAGGCGTGAGCCACCGCGCCCGGCCTGCCTTCTTGTTTCTTAGAGCCTTCGGGACCTCATAGGTTAAAAGGAGATATTAGAAAATAGTCTCTGCCTGTAGCAATGTTTTTGAATCCAGTTAGAAAATAAAGATTAATATTTTATTTTTAAACAAACTGTGTGTAGAAGTGATTATATGTGGGAGTTGATCATCAGACAGGATTCATATGTGTTGGGAGATTCACTGAGCTTAGGCAAATCCTATTTTCTGGTCGAAGTAAAAATGTTTCCATAGATTTTTCTGGCTACCCAATAGTTTTGATGGAAAGGTATCTGTGTGAGTCAACTGTCAATGAGTATGAAAGTTGCAGATAAAATTTCTGCAGAAATGCATGAGAAATGGGAGTGGGAAGCAGGAAGGAGGAAAGGTGTTTGGCCGTATGTACCTGGACCTTGCTAAACGGCCCCTTTCAGAATGAATGATGATTTTGTACAAAGCCATTTGGCTTGGGAAATATCCTTGAGTTACTCTGATCCAAGGTGTACACAGTTTCCTTTGGCTAGCTCCTAGGGTGGAAAGCTTAGCTAAGAATTAGTCACTCAGGAAGGCAGGGAGAAGGGGAACCTTTTGGGAGGCTTGATCTGGGAGGTGATAGAATGTCCAGGAAGGGAAGCTTGGGATGCAAGGAAACACTATGAGTCTAGGGTGTTTGGGGTGCACGTGAGTGGCTGTGAACAGCTCTGCTATTTCCTGGGCTTAAATCCAGGGACAGCCCTGCTCACATTCAGTCCTAATCATGGAGAACTGTCGCCCTTTATTGACTGATGGGCTGGTCTTGTGTTGATTTGTCTGATTTAAATTAGAAATCTTTTTTCTTAGATGGCTGGTCAGCCTCCTTCTTTTAAAGTAGTCGATAACAGTGCATGGTGAGAGGATCATAAGCAGCTTGCCCAGCTTTTATATATAACCCATTATCTAATTTTAGAAAGAGAGGTTAGAAAGCTGCCTCTTGTCTCTGTGTTTCACATACGCCCAGATATTAGCATTTAAGTGATTGAAAAGTAGTATCTCTCGGTAAAGCCCTGGCTGACGTTTTTATATTCTTAAAAATGCCTCTCCCAGAGCAAAGCAAATTGCTCCAACCCCAAAATATAGGCACAGGGGCCCTGGAGATTTGTTTAGGGGGTGTGAGAGCATTTCTCTCTTTTTTGCCCTATAACTTCAAAAGCCTACAACTTAAACGTGTGATACAGGCAAAGACATTTAATCTGTTTTATAGACAAGTTAAAAGATACATCTCATTTGTCCTCGGAGCCAGTGTGAAAAATCTATGTGGCTTTGAACGAGGAGGAAATGGCTGAGGGGTGTGTGTGATGTCTATAGAGCCCATAAACACACCCAGACAGGCACCAGCACCAAGAAAGGGAATTACATTTTTTATTTGAATGTATGCCACTTAGAAATGTTCTTTACTGTTAATGATAACAAATAAAATGTTCAGAGAATTCCCATTTGTCTCTTGCTCTCAAAAACAACCAACTAACCAACCAAATGAAAAAGCAGTCTCTCTCAAGTCACAGCCCAGAGTTAGGCAGGTGGGCTGGGACAGGTGGGCGTTTCTACCCCACTTTATCATTCCGGTTCCCTCTGTGGTGGTGTTGCACCGTCACATCCTATGGTTGTAATCTTATGGGTGTATGTGTGCATATACACAACATAAGAATATGCATCCATGGGACTCTATAAAGCCATATTAATTTTAAATGGAAAAACTTACAGCCAATAAACATTCTTTCCTGATATATTTTTTCAGCAACGAAGTTGTTCACCTCTGATTCATGTTGTCCTTTTTTAAGGGGTGACTCTTCGGCAGGCCCATCCTTACTGAGTCCTCACTTCTTCACAGTAAGCTGCAAAGCTGGTGTTACAGAAGCTGGGATTCCAAGGGCCTCGGTAATGAGCCTGAAGCGAGGGGAAGGAGCCGGAAGCTGCTATGGATAATGAGAAAACCAAATGGGCGGAGAGTAACAGTGACAACAGATAGCTCTGTCTTGTGTAAATTAGGTTTGTTCAGAAGCAACAGAAGCTTGAATAAACTCAAAGTGAAATACCATCTTCAGGCTCATGTTACCTTCAAAAGCAATTGAAAAAGCTAAAAAGTAACCTAAACCCCTTTCTAATCAGGAATATTCTGTCCAGGTAATGTTGCCAGCAGAAGCTTCTCTATTTATTTGTTTATTTTTAATTGTCAAATGATAATTGCATATACTTATGGGGTACAAAGTTTTTGTTGGTGTTGGTGGGCTTTTTTCATGAGTACACCCAGAGGCCTGCTCACCCCTCATTCCAAGGTGACTTGGCTAGAGAAGCTATCCATGATATTTTGCTATTTCTCTGGCATACCCTATGTGCTCTCTATTTCTCACCTTTTTGTATAAACATCACACTTTAAAATCAACAGGGCTTGGGTTTCACTTCACACTCAAGAGGCACAGCTCTGTAAGATTTTAAGTGAAAGGGTATAGTTTGTTTAAACCTTTTTCAGGATAAGTTGGAAGGAAAGGTGGTCTCTGGGTGCTCAGAATGACTTATTTTCCTTATGATAAGCTTTGAGAAGCACTTTCATTGGCTGACATATTTCCTGGCAAAACAATCAAACAAAAAAATTAGTCCTATGGGTATTAGGCAAGAGGGAAGAAGTGTGGTCTTTAGAATCAGACTGCATTGGGTTCTGATCTCAGCAATGCCAAATAATTACTAGAGACAACTGATTGTCCCTAAGTAATCATTTCCCCTTCCTTCTTTTGAAAATAGAAGAGTGGGACACTTCATTCCAGATTGAGACTATGTTTCTTAGACTCTTTGACTCTCAGGGCTAAAGCTAAAGCTAAGACTGTTCCAGGAAAACTAGAAAGAGTTGGTCATTCTTGTCATAACACACAGACTGGAGAAGTTCATTGAAATAACTGGTGATTCTGAATTTGAAGTAACATGCATTGAAACTCTGTTTCTGAATCTGGTGGGAATTTAACCCAGTGATGCCAACCCTACAATCTATACAATTTCTTTTTCTTTGACACACTCAGTGTTGCAGATAAGAAGTACTTGTTACCTCTGCCATTATTAACTAGCTCATTGCCATCCTGAAGAAGTAGATGCTGCCATTCTTTTGTAGTAAGAAAATGTAGGCTATAGCAATAAACACATGGTGACATAGTCTTTAGATTCTTTTGGTGACTTTATGACCAAATCTAGTTGATCCCATTGGTGGTTCCACACTTTGGGAGGATGATGAAAACACTGGTTTGCTTTGCTGGGGCAGATTTAGTACAATTATTATGAAGACAGGTTTGTTCAGGGAGGAGAGACCAGAATCCAGCTTACTTATCCTTAAGTACTGCGCTTACTGGCCACTACTGTACATTGCGGATGTTATATCTGAAATTGGATTTTAAACTTAGCTACTAGTAAACTGACTTGGTGAGTTCTGACTCAGTGAGGACTTAGGGGATGAGATCTAGCTGAGTTTTTTTTACTTTGACTTTCTTCAGCTTTTACACATTCCCCCTCCTCCCCGAGTATGAAGAGAATTGCAGTTATACTCTAGGTCAGGTCTGAGCTTATCCTCCAAATATGTCTCAGTGTCTCCAACAGCAACCTGAATATTAAGCATGTATATCTTACGTGCTGGAAGGGGAGTACACTGGGGTGGTGAGGAAGGCCAGGACTGTGCGTCCTCTCAAATTGCTATTCACCTTTCGTTCTGGCACTTTTTTGTTGGTCTTTCTAACTTTTATAACAACTTGATAGTGAGATTTTCCAGGATTTACTGGCATTATCTCTAGAAGTACCTGGAAGAAATCTCCATCTTAAGTGAAATCATATGTGAACAATAGCCTCTCAGGCAGTGATAATAAAGAACACTATACTGTCAATATCAAGTGCAAAGCTAGGGTAACTGTAGGCTCGTGATGGTCACTATGGTTGATTCCATTGAACTGGTAAGCTATAAAGGGTGTCCTCCACCCTTCAATTCATCAAGCTTTATGCGGGGCCAAAAAGAATGGCATTTGTCAAACATAAGAAAGCCATGATTTGCCAAGGATATATGTGTGTTGTAGGTAGGCAGGCAGTCCAAATCTGCCTGGGGAAGGAGTTATCCAGCTATGTAGACAAGATTGCATTTTCTCTCCTAAAAGCTATTGCTTTCTTATCAAATAGATATCTTGGCTATCTTTGCCAAAAAAAATCAGTGTGATGAAGTGTTGCATACTTTTAAAATATTTATCTCTAGCATTATATTGTTATGGCTTTAGTTTGTGCAATATTTATGTGAGGTGAAGTACTGGTCCATAAACTAACATTTCTGGGTCAATAATAAGAAGAGTATGATTAGCTAGAAAAAGAGAATGTACTTTCTTATAAACTTGCTCTCTTCAAATTCAATGTCCAATAAAAGCTATTGGTATAGTATTAGGGCCTTAAACACCACATATAAGATATGTAAGGAGCCCTATATAGCTATAAATGTTTTTTCTTATATTTTGAGGCTTAGGAAGTTTCTGTAAACTTTCATGTTTCAGAAAATTTGAAGTTTATGAGTGAGATTAATACCCCCTATTTCTGGCATTGTGATAATTTTATAAACTTATTGGAAAAAAGAAGCTAAAAAAGTTACAGGGTTGCACAGGTCTTTGAGAACCTGAAAGAAAAATGGATATTATTTTTTTTTAATTTCATTACAAATGTTTATTAACCAGATATCTTACTAGCATTGTTTCAGGGCTTCTGTTTTTCTTATCTCACAGATAAAACAGAGATATAATATTGCAAAGGTTTGCTGTGGGAATTAAATGGGTAATTTTTATAAAGTTCTTGGCGTGGTATCCAGGACATAGCAAGAACTCTATAAATGTTTTATATTCCATTATTAATAACATTTTTATTATTATTGCACCATCTAAAAACTGTGGGGGACATGAAGAGATATCATCAAAAAATTTATATTTAGTTAATAAGATAGGGCTTAAGCTTGTGAAATTTTCTGTATAATTTGGTAATACTATCCATATGAGCCATGTGTGGGCTATATTTCTGGTTCCATATAAACTGTTAATATTGGACTGGGAAAGTCACATTTTAGCTTATTGAATAAACCATAGAACAGAGATTTGGAGAATGGGGGCAGAGGTGGAGTACCCAGAAAGCAAAAAAGGATATTCACAATCAGAATAAACAAAATATAAGATATGGAGTTCAGGGAACAGTCCATGGAGAAAATGGCTAGAAAAACGAACAGCCAAGTCGGGGAGTAAGACATAGGTTTACTGGAAAATTTAGGGCAGGTTTTTCTTTTTCTTCTTATTTTTGTTCTGTCTTCTTCCTGTCATAGATTTAGAGATTCCCTTCTTGGTCTTTGCCTTGGTCTTTCTGTGTCTACTGACTATAATATGTTATGGGACAGACTTCAAAGAGGAAGGGGGACTCTAAGTGCACCTTGAAAAATGGGAACACTTTAGAGAGGATGAAGAGGAAATAGAATTGCATAACAGGTGGGAAGAAAGTGAGCAGCAAATGTAGGAGAGAAGTTCTCATACATTTGGGGCCCAACGAGCAGATCAAGGGACTTACATAAGGGGGTCATGTGATACATAAACTTGGGCCATTGTGGACAACTTAAACAATCAAGCTTGGATTTTATCATTTGGGTAGAGGAAAGTATTGATAAGTGCAAAGACTGATTTCCTTCCTCTCCTCCTTCCCTCCCTCTGTTCCACCCTTCCTCTCTTAGTTCATGCCTTTTACTCACTGATAAGGAATGACTTGCCTTCTGGTTTGTTGAAGCAGTGTATCAGAGAACATTTGCCGCAATAGTGCCTGTCGAAGGGGCTGGCCTCAAACACTCTAGCACCACATTCATCTGAAGAGCACTTCCAGTGAAGATGACTACTTTCCTTATTCTCATTCACCTTACAGTATTTTAAGACATCCAGGGTAACCTTCTTTCTCTTATGCTTATTTTTAGGAGTGGTGTGAGACTTCTTCCTTTTCTTAGAATCTCAACACAAGATAAAGAGTAGACTCCTTTTGAACTTTGTGGTCAGACACAGAATGTCCATCTTCTAGGTGTCTGCCAGCAAAGGTCAGTTTTTGCTGATCTGGAGGAATTTCTTCCTTATCCTGGATCTTGGCCTTCATATTGTCTATTGTATCCAGGGGTTCAACGTTAAGAGCGATGGTTTTCCCTGTAAGGGCTTTTATGAAAATCTGCATTTTGGTATCAGTTCCATCACAGCTGATGGATACAGAAACTGAAGATTGAAGAATAACTTTCTCCAAGTCATTACTGCTGCTAAGCAGGAGGACAGGGCTTGGATCCCAAATGAGTCTTCATCCAAAGACCATGTCTTTTCCCATCACCTCTGCTGCCACTGGGAATCTTTTGAATTGATAAAAGTTATACATGAGCTCCGTGACCCTGGAAGAGGAAGAGTCAGGAAAGAACTGTTAGGGAACCAACATGATAAATTCAGACGGGCAACAACACATTTATAAAACTTTCTGACAAATAAATCTCATCTTGACAGCTGTGGGAACAGGGGTTATTAATCTTCATGTTACAGTTGAAAAAGACTATACAGTTGATTCTTATTACTCTTGGTAGGTATGTTCTATGAATTCCACAAAAATTGAATTAATGAATACTGTAGTAGCTCTTACAGGAAGTATGAGATTAGGTTCCTGCAAGTCTCTGACCACATTTTCATCAACTGATCCATATATAACCTCGTTTTATGTATCTTAGAGTTCTGTTTAAAGACACTTATTTAATATACTTTGTTGATTCATTAACATTGAACTCACAGCCAACAGCACTGTATGTCAGGCTAAATGAAGCTTATATAATACATTTTGTGTTAATAGCCTTCTTTGGCTTAGGACAGTAAGTAGCACGTTAGAGCTATGAGAACGTAACAAGATGGGAGTGTCTCCTTGTTTGACTTCCACTGAGAACATGCACATCCGGTGACTCAAAGTTTTTGCTGCTCTTGGGCATGTCTATGAATGACTGCGAAAGCACCGTGAGTACTAATTTTGAGGTTACAAATAAATTTTATCAAGTAGATGAATATACGAATACAGAATCCACAAACAATGAGGAT